CCCCAAAACCCCAAAACCCCTAGAGATAATATTGACAATCTTAAGCAAATTAAAGAAATCAATTTTAGGTATTGTTAATGTCGAATGATACAAGAGATTCCATGAAAGCTCTAAAATCCTCATTCTTAATCTCAATTATAGAGGAGTCAAAAGAGTCATGCTTGGCTCTAATGTTAGTAGCTTCTACTGTCAAATGAAAAACCTAGCCAAAATGATTCTTGCCAATGATACCTTTTTAATTGCTATGTAATCCAAGAATAGCTACAATCAAAGTGGTGCCTAGGAAAGTATTCCTAATTGTAATAACCAAAGGTTTGTCTTTAGACTTGCACTTTATCTCTCGGTATGTCTCCATTATAAATAATCCTAGCCTCCTGATAGCCATTGGGTATTGGAACACCTAAATATCTTTGATGCTCTCGTTATTCATCATTACATATCTGAAGTGTGTTGCAACCTTTACCTATTTTTTCTATAGAATTTAGGTGCCAATAGAAATAATGGCTTGCTAGATCTCCTTCGCTAACTCTATTCCCTCCTCAAAGTACTTTTTCTTATCAAAGTCTAGCGCATCATACGCCTTGAAGAAATTCTCATACTCACATTCTTTGATAATATTAAGATTATTCTGGATTGACTTCTTTTAATTTTCCAACTGCCTTTCTTGCTACTATCCTCTTTGATCATGCATCCTTTGCTTCATACTGATTAAGATATCTTCTGGATTAAGAAATTGCTGATTCTTCTTTTGAATTGAATCGATATCTTAATCTATCAATTCTCTATATTGCTTTATCGTTTTAAAATTCTCCAATATGCCATTAAGAATGTAAACAGTGTCATTAGATGAAAGGATAGTTTTCGAGTCTACCTGCTTAGTATATGATGTTATAAGTATTTAATCAAGGAGAAATCTATCACTATGATTGGCAATCTTATCTACCAAATCATTCTTAAACAAAGGAGCCATAAAGTTATATTTCTACTTTGACTCTTCTATAGGAATACCTATTGTAGCTAGAAATCTTTTGTACATAATTACTCCAGGCTCAGTCCATGTTTTTAAATTAGACACAATGTAGTTTGAATTAATCATGCTATCATGCAGAGTCCAGTGTTTCAGTAGCATCAGTTTTAAATCATTAATGATCATGATCGTTCCAATTTCTTAATTCGAGTTTTTTGTTTGCACATGCTTGAATAAATCTATATCTTTTGGCTTAGGTTCCACGACTTAGTGGTGCTAAGTCAGAATTCTGGGATTATCAATAGAGGGATCTGATTTATCAGCACTATCAGATACCATCTTTTCATTCTCAATAAAATAGATGTGTGGATTTAACCTCTAGACCTCATCGTTGAGCTTTAAAATATCATCTTAGTATAGCTAGCTGCTTCCATTCAGTTAATGAAGCATATTATCAGTGAGACCCACTATCCAAAGCCAAAGGAATTCCCGGGTTTCTCTATTGACAGATTAACTCATGTGATACATAAGTCCTCCAATGCACTTCCAAATGAACGTACCCTGATAATAAACTCTAAACTTAGCCTTTACTTTTCTAAATAATCTTTTTTTATCTATCAGCTATTCTTGCTATAATCTTTATCTCTTTTTGCCTACTTTTACTTTTTCGACATCTCCTTTTTTATATTCCTCATCCGATTCATCAAGCATTTCTTGAGAGCCGCTGTCTCTAAGATCCTTGAGCTCCTCCTCTACCTCATCTATGTCTGAAAGTTAATTGCTCTCTTCGGAATCACTGTTCTCCTCCTCTTATTGGTAATTTTAAAGCAGCTAAATATCAGTGAGTGTCAATAAGTTCTCAAAAGTTGAACAGCCATCATGAATAATGTGTATCTTATTTGCTACATCAATCAAATTATGATGATGAAAGGGCCTATGGGAATCAAAGAGAAATATCTGAAACTTAGCTTAGTTTTGATAGTACCAAAGCGATGTTTAGTCTAAATTGCCCCCGCAGTTTATGAATATCAATGACCTTAAACTTTAACTAGTATTTTTAAGCTTGTTTATTTCTTAGATAAGATGAGAGTTTGAAAAAACTGGAGTAAGTATGTATTAAAGCTAGTCTGATTTTAGGAGAGTAAGAAGAATCTTGAGGGCGCAAATAGAATCTACAGAATTGCTCACAAATATTTAGGTAACTGCTTGATTACATCTATTACCTTCAATATTAGAGTTCTGTAAGATTTAATCATATATCCTGTTTAATTTATCTAATGGTAATAACATGTCAATCTTATTTAAATAACTTTTTTTCCAAAATAGTGTTTCAACATTATTTCTACAGTTTACC